AAAACAATACAGACTGAAAAAGTCAGTTGTAAAAAGATAGAATACTGCCTAGAGTGGAAAAACAGATGAACTAACATACTAGCAAGACCACTTTGCAAGTTAGTAATAAATACAAAACTAGGAGCAAAAAGGAAAGAAATAAGAGCAGTTAAAGGTTTAGAGCCAGAAATAGAAATTACAATTTATGATTGAACTTGTTTTTAGAAAAGACTAAAGATGACAAAGGGAATATATTGCACAATGCAAAGAAGCAGCTCCAAAAGAAGTATATTTATTAAGTGCATAATAGATAACTTCTAACTTTGGAAGAACTCAACAGAAGAAGGCCAGATATATGAAGGTGAGTCAATAGAAAAGAGACAAATCATTTTTAGTAAAATTTTTTTAATTTTTAAATTTAAATAACTTAACAACTATTTAATCAAATCTGCTAAAAAATTTTTTTATTTTAATCTTGAAATTATATAAAATTAAAATAAAAAAAAATTATCAAATTTAATAAAATAGTTGTTAAGATATTTAAAGTTTAAGTTAAGAAAACTTTTACTTAGAAAAAATTTGTTCTTTTTCTATTGACTCACCCCCATATATACAATAGTAGAATGCCAAGTATGCCAAAATAAAATAAAAGAGATGCAAGTATGTTTGGCAATATGCAAGAAGCAAAGAAGTCTCTGGAAATGAATTCAAAAAGTAATAATTATGACAGCATGAAAGAAACTGAAAGAAGAAAAACAAATTCAGATCTCTCTATATATGTTATATATGGTATTCTTTGGAAAAACAGAAACAGAGAAAATAAAAATAAAAGAAACACTAATAAGAGACCTAATCTCAAAAAAACACAAAACAAACTAACACAGCTCCTAAACACGAAATTAAGACAGCAGTTTGTAAACACAATAATAATAACAGCTGAGAAATATTTTATGAACAAGTATAGAGAATACATTGTAAAAAAATTAATAAATAAGAAAAAAAGTTGGAATAATAGGTAAAATAAAAAGAAAAAAAGATGTAAAGCTAAAGGAACTAAGAAAAAAAAACCAAATCAGAAAAAAAAAAAAAAAAAAAAATTAAAAGAAAAAAGAAAGCAAGTTAAAAAAGAAGTAATAAAGAAATTGTTGGAACTTGTTATAGAAGAGAAAAGACTCTTTCATTATGGACTTTAAGTAGTCATATAAGTAGCTTACTTTTGCTTAAAATAATATGACAGGTTGTACCTAGGTACTATTAAGGTAACTAAATAATGTTAGACTTAGATATTAGATATATTTATGTAGTTATAAATGTAATTCCAAAATCTTAATAAAATACTAGCATGATTACTTATAATAAAAAAAAAATCAAATTAATTCAAATTAAAGAAAATTTTTAATATATATAAGAATAATATTAGACTACAAAACCTATGGGTTGATAGTACAGTAGTTAGTGCTTCTAAGTCTCAATTGTAAAGTTGTAAGTTCAAGTTCAGAGAGTGACTAAAACTTTGCCAGACCCATGATTGAAAAAGATCTGCAGAGAATTTCTATTTAAAAAAACAAAAACAAGATTCATTCAAAAAGAATGCAATAACTGGCATAGTCACAGGGTTGAGAACAACCAGATAAGATTTAATCTATTAACAAATAATGTTAATATTGAGAAAGTCTGATTTAAGATCATCTAAAATTGAAAATATCAAAATTTACAGACAATCTGGCTGGTGGGTCATGCAAAGTTAGAGAACTCAAACTGAAGAAGATAGTAGGTCCTATACTGCAGAACCAAAAATCCAAAATGTTATATAACAGACTTAATAGAGTATGAGTTATTTTACAATACAGTAACATACAAAGGTTACATGCCATCCAATGATCTTTACAGAATAATAACTCTGGTTTTTAAGAAATATGACAGGTTCTAAAGGTGTCTAAGAACTTTCTGAATAGCAAAAAGAAGTAAAAATAAAAAAAAATATTAGACTACAATATATTAAAATTTTAATTAAATTAGATTAATAGTTTTGAAAAAATTAGCCAAAAATTATATATAAAAATTATATATAAATTTTTTTTATTATATAATATTAAATAAGAAAAATAGTAATATATGAATATATTAATTAGATATAAATGTATAAATAAAATATTTTTAAACTATACTATTGTTGCTATATACATAATGACATCTAGTATAATATGTATTAACCTTTAATTTTCTGTTTTAGTTAAATCAATTATTATAATTATTAACTATAAGTGATAATAAAAAAAACTTTTAAAATTATTTTAATTAATAAAAGCAAGTATATATAGTAAAATTTTAGAAAAGAGTTTTAAAAATAAATTAGTCTAAATTAGTATTAAATGTGAATATATTATTATTAGAGTTAGAAAGTTGTATAATAGATAATTAAATATTCTTTTTCCTTTTAGTAAGAGTAGTAATTCCTTATACTAATTCCTATTCATATTATTTAGTATTTTGAGTTTGCTAGATAATAGAGTTGAACTAGTTGAATAAAGTGTTGAATAAGAAAATAAGAAAATTGTTAATTAGTTTTTTTAAAATTAGTTAAAGTTGTTTGTATTGATTAAGTGTTATTGTGTTTTAAATAAGTAGAAGTATTGTATTATATATAGTAAAATTTAGAAAAAGATTTTATGAATTGAGGATTTGAATTATTATGTATAATAAATTTTAGAGAAATTAATAGTTTAAAATATTAATAGTTTTATTAATAAAAATGTTTTGTAGATTATAAGAGTGAAGTGAGCATTAGAATAGATATTTAATATTTTTATATTAGTTATAATAAGAACAGTTTGGGATTAAGTAGAGTAGAGAATAACAAATATTTAAATTTAATATTGTTGGTAAGTTATTAAAGAGAATTTTATTTTTAATAAATAAAATTTCAATTTAAAATTTTGAAATTTAATAATTTTAGTAAATAGTAAGATGTTTATAGTAGAAAGATTTCATAATATTTAAGTTAAAAAAGTTTGTTAAATATTTAAATGAAAAAGAGGTTTTTATAGAATTTATGAAGTTTGTATATAATTAATATTTCTTTTCAAATAAAGAAAATAGATAAATAAAAATAATCAAGATTATATTTTAGTTTAGTTTTTTTATACTTTATTTGACTAAGGTGTTAACAATATTATATAGAGTATTATTTGAATATAATTTAACTTTGTGTATAATGTAATCAATATTTTTAAGTTTGGTTAAATAATTTAAATATGAATAATATTCTAATTATTTTGTTTAGTTTGAGAATTGTGTTTATAAGATATTAAATTTGTAAGTATTTATATAGTAGATAAGCTGTTTAGATAAATGTGAATTGAATAGTTAAAAGGTAAGATAAGAAACAAAAAAATAAGTATTACTAGTTCTGCTTATGTCAAGTTTGATGAAAAGATTATAGAGACATTAAATTTAATTTGTGTGTCATTTTTCAAAATCCAGGCAATGCTCATGAAGGTAAATATATAGTTTTTTTAAAAATTGTTTATTATATTTAAACAAACCTAATTTTCTTATAACTTTATATAAAAAAGAATAATGCTTGCGCTTGCTCTAATCCTAAACATAAAAAAGATTACTTATAAAAAATTAGATATTTTCTTTTATTTGACATAAGAATGTGATAAGTAATCAGTGTAATGAATAAGCATTAACTAAATAATTATATCAACTAATGCTTATTAATTACATCTATTAATTTATTATGTCTTTGTGCCAAATAAATAATGAACTTATAAAAATTAATTGCAAAACCTATGTTAACCATATATTGGAAAAGTTAAAATTTGTTTTAGAGAAAACTTGACTTCTAGAAATGGGTTATACAAAGCCTAAAACTAATTACTAAGATATACAACAGACCAAAACTTTAAAGAAGCAAATTTTTAATTGATGTATGAAAAGACTTGGTTTGAGGCTTAAGGTTGGATATTATTGTGATTTATTTTTGAGCATTCTAGATTACTAGCTTGGCTCTAAATTCTATTTTTATTGCTATAGTCTTTCACCATAGTATTAATACAATTTTAGTTCTCTAGTGTGGATCACGGGATTTAATCACGGGGACACGATTTTGACAATTTAGGGTAGTCAATATATTAACGATGATCACTTTAAGAATTTATATATATAAGGGATCAGCTTATTAATGAAATCTCTTGCTCTAATTTTTAGACTACAGTATCGAGTCTACGAAAGTCACGGGAACAAGAAATATCGATAACGAGGCACGAATTTTTAACGGGTCAAGGGAAGCTACTTAGAGAACCACACTTTTACTAATATCGTCTGAAGATTTAAAGCTCAACTGAGTTTATTTTTATTTAAGTTAAAATCGTTAGTTTTTATACATTATTTTTACATATACATAGAAAGAATATATATAATATAAATATACTTTCACTTTTATTTTACATTTACCTTTCGAATGGATAGATTCTTTTTACCATATTAAACTGATTTGGTCGATCCATTCGTCTTGAGAAATAACTAACAAAATAGAAATGAAAAAAAATAATAAAAATGGAAAAAATGAAAGAAAAAAGGGTTGTGCTACGTCGGATGCGTAGCACCACCAGGGTGGGTGATTTCGACTTTCACAACATACTATCAAAATTTTCGTGCGTCAGTACATATTTGTACAATTGTACAGTAACTACTTTACTAACTACCTAAATTTAACACAATTGAATTTAAACTTAGTTTTATTCACGAGGTTTAAAAACCTTTATTTCTTTGTTAAAAACAAACACACCAAAATATAATGGACATTTCACAATGTTTATGCAGGTGCATCAAAAGTACCTATTTATGGTTGAAATGCATCAAAAACGTAATTTTTGCGGGTCTGTTGATACACTCCAGACAATGAAATATAGCATATACATGTGTGCGTACATATGTACGTAATACATAAAAAACTCTCAGGTTAAAGCCACTGCAGCTTCAATTTTTTCCGTCAAATTTTGCAGTTTGCAAAAATGAATTCTCATAGTACTCAAATCCTCACTAATAAAGTCGAACTTGACAATAAGGTAGAACCTCATATTTCAGTTGAAGATAGGATTTCTAGAATTTTTAAGAATCCAAAAATATACGCACTTTCTTTTAATTATGATGATGCAGCAAACTCTAAAAGGACAGTTCTTGAGAGTACTAACTGTACTAATGGCTTTGCAGCTGCTATTTTCCATGCCTATAACTATCACAAACATTTACGTTTAAGACCTGATGATGTTTGGCTTACTATTGCTCAAGGCGTTAGTCATCATATTAATAATAATTCTGAAAAATTCCGTGACAAATTTGTTAAACATGAAGGAAAAAAAGAAATTGACGTTTTTGTTGGCGATATCTTATCTGGTATTACTCTTGAAGGTGATTGGCAGGAAGCTGTAAATAGACTTGTCAGGAAAACTGATGAGAATGTAGAAAAAATTGAACTTAAAGAATTATTAGAATGTGATTTTTCAACAACAACTCCAAGCAGCTTAACAGCAAGTCGTATCGTATTATTAGATACAGTTAAAGCATACTTTGATTATAAGTTCTCAACTCTTTGTGGAATTCCAAAAGTTACACTTGAGGGAACTATCGAAGATTGGAATAAGCTTCAAGAAAAAGTTATTCAATTAAGAAAATTAAATTTAGAGCTCGATTTTTGGTTAGATCGCCTTGAACCTGTGATTCGGAAATTAGTAGCAACTTACCGTGGCGATGTTGACGAGGATTTTTGGGGTAGAATAATAAACATAAATAGAGTATTCGGTTCAGGAGGAGGTACTTTTATCTCAGGATGGATGTTAGCTTTCTTTCCTTATAATCGTTCAGGAACGCCTTTTCCATACGATGATGTAGAAATTCCTGACCTTCCAGATGGCATGGTTGATGTTCCTTTTACTATTGATACTGGTTATTCTTTAAAATTTATAGCTGGTTTTGTCGGTGCTAATCAAGAGATTCTTGAAAATTCTAATGAATCGGTTGTTTCTCCTGTGATTGGATGGTTTATTACTGATAACGTAGATGATCCTTCCAAGAAAAGTGACTTTTTGTGAAATTAAAATACTGATATTATTCATGTGAATATTTTAAATTTTAACATCATATTACAGTATATTCGTATAAATATATCATGGTCTAATTCTCTATACGAGCATGCATTTGACACATTTAAGATACAATAAATCTTTATTATACAGAAATGTGGCTTTATAGCTGATAATTATCCAGAGCGTTTTTTTAATTTACATTTTTTTAATGAAATTACGTTTAAAAAGCAATTAATCAACTGATATTGATACTCTGTTTATCGCGGTTTGCAATGTTTGGCAAAATTTTACAGATCATAGTCCATATTATAATCAATCATAATACGTAATCCCGGTTGTTGTCCTATTTTTCGAAGCCGTATTTATTAACCAAGAATCCAATCGAGATTGGCTATCAATTTCGGACACCCTATTAAGAACGCACCTATTTTTAAATTCTTAATCGATTTTTATTATTTGAGGTGAGTACGTTCTTGATAGATGTGTTCGAAATTGAAAGCCAAACCCTATAGAGTATTTTCATAATTTTTGCTTGCTATTTAGGTATGAGCAAATCATTAGATATTTTTGCGTGTATTTAATATTAACTTTTAGACTGAACAAAGTTTGCGAATTTATCATCTGTAAAAATTTTATTGAATATTTAATGCGCAACTCCTATTTCTCCAAATATATTACAGAATGATGAATATATAACTTTTATTTCTATAACAAATGGGTGCTGCCAAGTGAAAACCTGACGTTCTAAAAATATATTTCTATGGACAACGGAATGCGGGGTATTAACTAATCTGACTAAATAATGAATTATACTTTGATCACATTGTAGTATCATTTAAAGTCCGTATTCCGTTGCCCAATTTTAGAATGTCGGGTTTTCACTTGGAGCACCCAAATAATAAAATTTTTACAAAATAATAAATGTGCAAATTTTGTCTAATCTAAGAGTCAAAAAAATTAAATCGGAAATTAGTAATCGAAAAATTTTTCAAATTTCACTGTACGTTTGATCTTGCAAACTGCAAGAATTGATTGCAAAAAGGTAAAAATTTCATATCATAGTTTTTGATAGAACTGTATTTCAATCCTATTAGCCTGTAATATATGTAAAATTTTGGTTAATAATATTTGAAATTTATCAAATCCTTCATTTTGAGTAGAGAATATAAACCTGATTTTATTAATCGCCCTGTGATTTTGATTTTTTTCATAATTCTGTTAGTTCATAGTATAGTGCTATTGTTTTACTTGATCATATATTGAAAGAAGCAGAAATAGTTACTTCTCAGGATGATAAATAGTATCGTGTACTATCTCTCAGGCCCAGGTGATGCTCCGGGGGCTAGGTCTCAAGTTTTTTATAGTCTTTTAATTTTTAAACCTGAGCATTGCTCTAAAAGCTAGGTCAAAATTTATAATTTTTAGTCTTTTAATTAGTAATTTTTTAACTTTTACACAGGTTAATGAACAAATATAAGATTGCTATAAGGTACTCTGATATTTGCTAATAGTAACCTGATAATAAATAAAAATTTATTCCTTGAAAACCTGATATGTTTTAAATTTTTGATGCAAAAAGTTAGCTATTGGGTTGGTTTCAGGAAAAATTCGCATTTTATAATAACATGCACATGACAAATAATTATTGGTTACACATACTGTAAGTGAAATAGATATCCGATATACTTATTAATAATAAATATTTAAGTTGATAGATGCAAATTGGGATTTTTTAGAAAGATTTCATAAATCCATTGTTTAATAATAACCCGATGTGCCTAGATTTTTAGTATAAAAAAAACTGTCAGATTTATATTGGCTAGCCAATACATATAAAATACTTGCTAAATAAAGTCTATAATTTATACTCAATATTTAACTTATTTTATGCTAAATATTAATAATTGATTTTTTATTTATTTATTATATTAATGTTTTATGCATTTACAATCAATTTTAAAATAAAAACAAAATCTGCATATTATCAATTTCAAAACCTGAATGCTAAAAACACCAGAACCAAACAACAGCTACTTCAAACTCTAGAACTTTAATCTTAAAACTCAATTCACTTATTCAATTAATTCTATAATTCCTTCTTCTAATTCAAGATAATTATGTCAGTGCTGATGTGATGTTCTTGTAAAGCGCATTTGTTAGTGCTTTTCCTTCTTCTGGCCCAAGATAATTATGCTAATGTAGTATCTTTGCAAAACGCACCTGTTAGCATCTTTCCTCCTTATAAATAAAGATAATTATATTGGTGTCAGTATAGTGTTCTTTTAAAGTCTGTTTGTTAATGCTTTTTATCTTAATTTAAAATAATTATATTAATGCTGATGTGGTATTTTTGTAAAGTACATTTGTTAGTATTTTTTCTTTTGCCAAGATGATCATGTTGATGTCAATGTAATGTTTTTGTAAAATGCATATGTTAATATTTTTTTCTTCTTCTAATCTAAGATAATTATGTTGGTACTAATGTGAGATTTTTGTAATATGCATATTAGTATAGTATTTTTGTAAATTTTATTTATTAGCATTGTTTTTTAATTATAGTAATGCTAGTGTAGTGTTTTGTAAAATATAGATATTGACATTTTTTTTCTTTTTATTTAAGATAATTATGTTAGTATTAATATAATATTTTGTAAAATGTATTTGTTAATAGTTTTCTTCTTTTAATCTAAAATAATAATTTTGGTACTGTTATAATGTTTTAGTAAAGTAGATTTGGTGGTATTTTTCTCTTTTTGATTTAAAACATTAGTATCAGTATAGTGTTTTTGCAAAATGTATCTGTTAATTCTTTTTCTTTTTTTGATTCAAAATGTTAGTACTAGTATAATGTTTTGTAAAATGTATTTGTTAATGTTTTTTTTCTTCTAATTAAAAATCTTAGTATCAGTACAGTGTTTTAGTAAAATGCATTTGTTAGTTTAGTATTTTTTCTTTTTTTAATTCTAAGTAATTATATTGGTACTAATATAATATTTTTGTAAAATGTATTAGTTAGTATTTTTCTTATTTTTAATTTAAAATAATTATATTAATAAGATATGAAATTTTATTAAATCATATATTACTGCTTTTTCTTCTTTTAATAATGTTAATATTAGTATAATATTTTTATAAAGTAATATATTAATACTTTTTTTTGATTAAAGATAATTAAATTATATTAGTGTTAGTATAATATTTGAAAAATGTTTATAATAATACTTTTTATTATAGTATTTTAGTAATATATTTGTTAGTGTTCTTTTTTCTAATTTATGATAATTTTAGTATAATGTTTTTGTAAAGTGCATTTATTAATGGGTATCCGTAGCCCAAATGTACTAAATTTAGTACATAAAAAAAAATCGCTTTAAGTTATCTATAAAATATATTTTATTTAAAATTTGTAAAAATATTTTTTAAACCTAATTTAATATTTTTATAAACTTTTTATCAATAATTATAAATAAAAAATTTTTACAAATTAATTACAAACTATTGCTTTTTTATTAAAATTTTGCTGTACTAAATTTAGTACAATATAAAAAAATTTTATTTTTATAAACTATATAATAAAGTTATATAAAAAAAAAATTACAATTTATTTAAAACCTATTTATTACTTTGAAATATTTAAATTGCCAAAAAATGACTATTAGAACAGCTAATACATATTGCCTTTGATCTATTACAAATACAATAGTATCTTGTTCTCTTGCTACAATATATACAATGTAATTGTGGATAAATTGTACCCTTTTCTTTTTTTTTTTTATTGGAAAAGTCAATAATTTGTGTAATGTCTCTGTTTCTCTTTTTCGTTTTTGAGATCTTGTATTTGGTATTAAAATTTTAGTTTTTGAAAAAATTTTACTAAGCATTTCATCTGCTAACAATC